ATATTAAAGAAAAAGGATTGCTAATTACGAAAAAACATCAAAGTATTTAATAAAGGATTATAATTATTATAATTTTTTATTGCTTTTCAACCAAATCATATAAGTTACGATATTTATTAAATAAATAAGTTTATCTAGCATTTATCTTATTGCAAAACAACCAAAACCAATACAATCTACCGTATAATACCGTACTCCGTTATCGAAACAATAAAATCGTATTTTATAACTACGCATGTGCGGAATACGAGATTTCGATTAAAAGTAATGTGTAGGCGCAGTAAATTGAACATGGCGAGTTTAATGTCAATGTTGAATCGAAACTTAACATTGCATATAACGGGTATCTTAAAGAATCAAGAACCATGACTTTCAAAGATAGGGCACGTTTGAGAGAAGGTAAAATGGGCGTAATATAATTAAAACCTAATTAGGCAGATAACCTTTACTCAGATCGTTTCTTCACTTGCTGTTTGGTTATCGGTTAAGATATTATGATCATGAACCACAGATACGATAACTTTAAAGGCGCATTTGGCCAATTTTCGCAGTTTCGTGAGAGAAGGTAGAGTCAGTTCTGGCATGAAATGGTAAAAAAAATTAACGAAATGATAAAACACATATGTGGGACACACAATAGAGCAGGGCTGTAGCCTCTAATTATATGATGTCACAAGAAATTGTCATGAATGGATGGAACTTACCTTCAAGCAACTGTTCTATCCAATTTGTCGCTAAGTTATATGAAAGCTATATACGAAATTATTATTACTAGGACATAAACTAATTCAGCAGTAGCTTTCGAACAATTAACATTAAAAGTATGTTTGAATATGTACTTAATACAGGTTTACGGCATATCCGACTAATGTTGATATAGGAAGCCTCAAACAAACAAGTCGGTCCTTGAAATTGGTTCACATTTAATTACAGAATACTTTTATATAAAACTATTTTGGACACGGAAAGTAAACGCATTATTGCCTACGAAAGACTTAGATACAAAAAAAGCATACATTGACCTAATTCCAGTCAAAGTTTACAAATACATGTAGTGCCCACATAATGCGATAAAAGTTAACCCACCACGAACACAATAAACCCTTAAAAGTTTGCAACGAATCGAATGACGTCATACAAACAAGAATAAAACATACAAAGCAATATCGAATATCAAAAAGTAACAGCATAAACACGAGATGCAAACACAAAAAAGCAGTTACCGAATCACACAGAGCTATAAATATCATAAAGTAAAAGAGTAAAAAGTAAAAAAAGAACAAACGTTGAATACTGTCGTACGTAAAGCACTTGACGGATTCACCGGACATGAGCCGAGTTCCATTGAAGTTTACAATACCATCGTCTATTTGATACGCGATGTTTTCAATAAGGCAGAGCGAACGGTGACAAAACAATGGCGATGTTGTGGCAAATGTTGTGTAAACACGAACGCCACGCCGCGTGTTCACAAAACATCGGCAAGTTTCACATCGCCATTCAGATACTGAATACGTACCAATTATGCACAAACCACATACGTGCCGATCTTCATACAATAAATTGTCGCGCTACTGCCTCAGTGAATTATAATAATTATCACGTCTATCTCATGTGTTTAACTGCTTATCAAGATAAAACTAAAGATTAAATAATCACATTGAAATTATATATTGCCCAAACAAGTGAATAATAATAAAGAAAGAAAGGGATGTACCAAGACCAAGGCAAATAGAAAACTGTAATATCTACCTACCACATTTGAATGACAGGCGTGCGCGTATTGTTTATTTTAATAAATAATAATGGAAACAGAGTGTAAGCTGTGAAGCAACCAGCAGACATAGATTTACAATTTCAGTTATATGTTGGTCAAGTATACGTTAGAATGCAAACCCTTTAATTTGGAAGACAAGCTCGAATTGAGATCATGATTTGTATGAGCAGATGTTACATAAATGAACCGCTTCAACGAAAAGAATTTCGCATTAGTAACTCAAAGGAGTGTTGTCAATAGGTTTTGGTTTCTGACCTTTCTTTTTGACTCTTCCTTTCACAGCGATGCTGTCTTTCTTCGGAATGTTGCTTATGTTGATGACGATGGCATTTGGAAAGGCTTTTGTAGAATTTAATTTTAATAGAATAAAAGATGACGAATGAGGTTATACTAAAATCTCTTATCTAACACAGGAGCAAATATAATTGCGCACACATAATAAAAAGATAAGGATGGATTAGATTCGACCATCTTTTTTTACATTATAAGGTTGCAAACGAGCGACCTGAACTCGCCGAGAAATAGAAGTGATCATTGCCCATATAAATCCGATATTTCAGATGCGATGCCTTCCTTATTCAACGGAGAAGGAGACGTACATAAAGAAGATATTTCCCTTTCCTTTGCGTCTCCTCCGCCATCAAATCCACTTTCCCTTCACATCCCTTCCGTATAAGAAAATGGGAAAGGAAAGGGACTAAAATAAGGCCTCTGGCACCACACTCATGAGACTGTATGCGGAATTGCTCCCACTTCACGCCCGTCTTCTGTGTGGTCTTGGTATTACACCTGGCGAGCCGACCCATTCGTGCGAAGATGTTATAGCGGGGTCTACCAATGTAAATCTATATTACCCTCAGTCCGGTTAAAACCTTCAAATTGCAACTGCATTTGGTATACTGGACACTATTACTATTGAGGTTAATCGATAATAAAATATAAACAACGCGATGTTGGACGTCGATCATGACATAGCTGACCGTGTCATTAGGGTTTGCCCTTGAGGACTCAGCCCGTGACATACATTCTTCCATCAATTATACATCGATCAAAATTTCATAACTATTGAAAGTTATTATTAACCTTCCGGTTTGCTTTATTTTCCCTATTGATTTTTACCATCGATACAAATTTATGGGAAGTTATCTGTACCTAAACAAGTAATCAAATCTAACCTCTATCTAACTTACTAAATGTTAGAACGACTAGAATAAATAACAATTTTAAACTTAAAATTTCAAACCATATCATTGATCGTGAACTTCACACATACAGACAGAATAAATTTTTCTATATCGCTTTTAAAAGCATATTTATACCACATGTGAGGTTCACCGTCACCATGGTGACGATTTTCACAACAGATATGACAATGAAGGTCTACTATCTATCAATCATAACTTGTCGAATAAACCACAACTCAAACAGTTTAGTTATTGAAATTATATTCGATATATTTTAACCTACATAACTCAAGCAGTCGGGTATTTCTCTCATGTATGTAAGTTTTTATAGTAATATGTAAGGATATAGTAAGTTGGAGTTTTGTATTTTAACTTCGTAATATTGTAAATGCGGAAATTTAGATGGATGGATGTTTGTTAGAGTTTGTAGCCTAAACTGATGAACAGATCTCGATGTTTGGCATAGATGTAGAGGATAGTCTGTAACACATGGCTACTCACTTTTGTATATTTTTCAATTCCGCGCCGAGTCACGGGTAAAAGTTACTATCTCAATAAAAATAAGCTAATCACGGTTACCGATAGATTGGCTTCTTATCTAGTAAGCTAACAAACTTGTTTTCCAAAGTGGTATTTCTCTTCAAAAACCCAACACTTTAGGTCTGGGTTAAAATCCACACCAATAATTCTTTGTACATATTTATTTCCTTAAATGCTATCAGGATCTTATTATATCCATAAAAAATGCATTAGTTAACGAGTTTTACAAATGAGGATAACCAGGTAACATAGAACGTCGTATCTAGTTTACATATTTACCATGGTTAATTTAAAACGACATACCACGCCCGTAACAAAGAGGGGTAGACAGAGAGTGTACTCCGGACGGGATTTGAAATTGGACTAATACACTTCGCTTATTTCTAAATTCATGTCACATAAGCACGTCGTTTTTGGGTGTTCTTGATACAAGATTAATCAATCTACTACATCGGCCCAGTAGTGTTCGATATATTGATAATCTTGCCTCTTAACAATATTAGTATAGATGTCATAGATGTTTTTCCTTAAACAGAAGAACGCATACCTGCCAATGAGTGTGATGGTAAAATAACCACTAGCGATTTCGTTATTTCCGGTGTTTTTTTTTTTAATATATAACGAGTATTTCTAACTGTATCTATACTAATATTATAAAGATTAAAGATTTGTATTTTTAGGGTTTTGTATGTATTAAAATAACTCAAAAACTACTGGACCAATTTCAAAAATTCTTGCAAAATTAATAATTAATGTTATCACTGAGTAACATAGGATATATTTTTACTATTATTTTTCAATTCACGAGGGTATAGTCGCGAGCAACAACTTGTATAAAATAAACTTAGATTCATATCGATTGATATAAACCAAGTACACGCATCGCAGTTGAGAGCGGTACAACAAATTAGATACTGGTTACTAATTTTGACACCAGCGTGTTACCATAACGTTCGGTTATTTCCCGGTCCGTTTGATAAACAATGTAAACAACTATTATAGAAACAAATTGATAGAATATTCCCTATAAAAATGCGCAATTTTATTACTCATAGCCATTTATACATATGCATTTTAATAGACGGACTCGATGCGCAAAATTTTGGAATCTATACTAACATTATAAAGAGAAAAGATTTGTATAATTGTATTTATAAAAATAACTCAAAAACTACTGGACCGATTTCAAAAATTCTTACACCGTCAGAAAGGTAATTTATCTGTCAATAACATATATTTTTAATTTCACGCGGGCGAAGTCGCAACACCAGCTGGCTTAAAATAATAAAAAAATGATGGTGTGAAACATTAGTAGATTTTTTGATAACATACAAAAATTTCTTCTACCGCTACAACTCAGCTCGAGGCTTATGCTTTGCGTTATTACTTATGACAACAAAAGTTGAATAGCGAACTTAGGCGCATACTTTTCTGTAAGTGGGACACCGCGAAGTGCGCTGACTGTACGCGACATGGTGTTTGCTAGCGAGAGTACTGACCTCGCGCGAGCGCATGAGGTAGCGCACGAGGCGGCCGCGCAGCACGGCCAGCGTGTTCTTGTCCAGCTCCACGCTGCCGCCCGCCACCGACTGCACCAGCACCTGCCAGCGGGACAGCGAGTTCTCCAGCAGCCTTATGTCCTTCTTCTCTATCCTATTGCGATACGTTATATTCATATCTGAATATTTGTAGGTAAAGTCGCAAACTCTCTTTTTGACATTATATATCTTAGTAGACATTTTTTCAGTAATACATGTAAATTTTGAATTCAATGATTTGAAATAAAATTGAAAGTCAGGCTAAATTTATGTACATAACTCTTCTATCATCGCCTTGTTCTTCAAATAAATTACCAAGTTAACTAAAGCTTTAGTTGGGGTAGACTTCGAAGTTAAATATTGGATAAAATCACTTATTGTCTATTAAACAGAAATTTACATGTTGTTATTGTTACCAATAATGTCAAAAAGTTTAGATTAAATCACTGTTCCCTTCGAGTCAGTGTCCCTTTTGGACTCCATACTAAATTATTTAAATATTCTTTTATTTGATTATATGGTTTGAATTTTTACCTGTCCGCAAGCTGCATTTCAATATCAATGCCATCTTCCTTATAGTCTTGTAATTCTGCATCATTCATTGTTTCTTCTGCATCAGAAAATGTTAACACATTGTCGTTTTGATCTGTAACAAAGAGAAAATGAATGATAAGCAAAACTCTTAGTGAAAAACCAAATATTAAATAGAATTAGTTCACCAATAAAATATAATTTACGTAACTTTCATTGCCATTATATCCATTTTAAATATATCAAACTAGCTTTTGCCCATGACTTTATCCATGCAGAATTTATAAGAAATTTAGTATATAATTATGAGAGAGATATGTACTAAAAAGCATTCTTCCATCCATCCAAACTTTCGCATTTATAATAATAATAACTTTCGCCCGCGACTACGCCCATGTGCAAAGAAAACAAAGGTAAGTAGCCTATGTGTTCTTCCAGACTATGCCCCACATCTGTACCAAATTTCGCCTAAATCTGTTCAGCTGAACAAACTACAAACTGTAACAAACATCCATCCATCCAAACTTTCGCATTTCTAAAGTTAAAAAAAGTTTACTTTTAGGCAATGGCTGCACAGTTTGATCGGGAAGCAGCTGGTACTGCTTGAGTAGCTGCCAGTGAGACATCAAAGACTTTGCAGTACGAGACGGATAGAACAAGTGTGGATTCTGTTCTAATAGTTCTTGGAACTTCTCCAATGTTGGGTGCGAGTTCTAAAACAACATTTATCAATAAACATTTCAAATAAATTATGTTGTTAAAAGAACTTTAAGTCAATTCTACAATTTTTGACATTTAGATACGCACTGATGTAGTTAAAGGGAAAATTGTTTATTTTAAATCAATAGATAGCATAGAAAATATAAATGATAATATATAGAAATTTTACGGTCATTTCAAGTGGGAAATAATTACCCAATATTTAAATTAAGACTTAACAAACTTACTTATAAAGGAAAACATTAAAATAAGATTCCTAATAATATTTACACTAGCTACAGTTCCAAGTAAGTCCTCCTCAGCAGTGGAATACAACGCTTGCTGTTGCACAGATGCAACGAGATCTGGATGCAAGTTACGCATAGCGGCAACTGCAATTCTTGATATCTCTGCATTGTACAGCAATGCATACCAACGTGATTGCAGCTCGCCTACAGTGAAGCGACATGAAAACTTAACTCCACGATGCACAATACGCAAATCATTTGTCTGAAATAAATAGAAAAATGCAATTAAAAAACAATGTTAGTGTTTCTACATTATTTAACAGTGAATTAAAATTAAATTCTCAAATATTTTATGAGCAGTAATTAATTACATGAAATAAAAGATTAAATTATTCAAAATAGGACCAATAGTGATGTTAAAATAATATGTACCTGTTGAACTCCTAATATGAGCGCCAGATCGTCTGTGGGTTTCCATCGTCCTAAATCTTTAGTAGATAACTGACTCAATTGTCCTTTACGTCGAGATTTGCGACCAATAAGACCACCACCACCACCTGTTACTTTACTTGACGTCCTTCTGCGGTCTGGAGGTGGCGGCACAGGAGTTGCGGGTGTATTCGACACACCAGAAACCTCCGCCAATTGACTTGTATTCGATTGAGTACGAATTCTTTTGTCGCCTTTGCCTAGAGATGCTCCAGGAAGTCCCAAACTGTATTCTACTAGCTCATCATCAAAACGCCTGCGTTTAATTGATCTTGAAGAGCTTAAATGACATAATAAACAAAGCATTAGAATCGTTTTACAAGGGTATGCGCGTGAATCAAAAGATAGGATAGTTAACGAACCTCCGTCTCTTGTTATTATCTTGAGCTATATCAAAAGCTGGAGTTGCACCAGGGTATTCATTACTATCGGATGCGTTAGACAATGTAGCTGGTAAATCCATTTTTGCTCCCTAAATTCGTGAATTATAGATTGTTTGTTTTTTTTTCATTTGGCGTAAAATGTCAATGTCAATAATAAAAAAGTCTTTTGACAATTTGAAGTGTGATCACAGATTCACAAAAGAACCATTGCTTCCATGTGCTTTTAATTTACTATTATTAAATATCACATTAACCACTCCCAGAACCTTGCTCCGGAAGATGATATCACTTACAAATGCTAACAATCGCTAATTGAATACCTTGTCTGTTAAATTACCTTAACGTTAACTTTTTCATTATAGCAAGTCTGAGAAGTGAGAACTTACATAGACAACATAGAAGTAAATGTCAAGCTGTCGATGTCAACATTGCTGCTAAAAACAATCCTCATCTTAATAACCTTTCCTTACATTCTGTTATTATTGTTTTATCTTGCTATACCTATAATATATAAAAAAAATAGTTAATAGGCAGGTGGTAAAATGTCTTACGTTTTACGAACAATTAGTCTACGTCCAAGAAATGTAATCGTTAGGTTATATAATAAGATAGCAATAACTGACGATGGATCCACGATTGTAGCTTTACATCAAGATAGAGATTTTCCTTATGAATATTCTAAGCCCCTACCAGAAGAAAATAAACGAGATGAAGGCGTTCTAAGGATGACTGATTACAGTGAAGTCAGAAGAGTTTTCAAAGAGATGAAACCTGAAATGGCAAGAAAACAATTATCTTCACTCACTTTAACAACAGAACACAGATGGTTCCCAAGAGCGAGAGATAAGAAAGCTAAGAAAAATGAGATGAATAGACCTTATTTGTAGATTAATGTTTAGTTAGAACTTACATGTAGTTAAAATAATTCTAAAATTCATTAAATTAATAAAATCAGTAAGATTTTTTATTCACCCTTATTAGGTCGATATTCCATATTAAATGTTTAGCATTATTGGTTTAGAAAATGGTATAACAATGTAATGGTTAATATGGAAACCAATCAACCCATGTCACTATAGCTCAGAACCCTGATGAAGAGAATATAGAGTTAATATCTAATGTATCTTCAAATTGTACTAAGCTTAGCAAGTACAAAAGGTTGTAATGGATACATGCTCATTAAAACTACTAATTTTTTCAATATGTAGGACAAGATAGTAATTAAATAATCGAATGAGGGTAGGTCTTCAATCACAGAAAGAAAAGAAGTTGTTAACTGATTGTAAAATATAAAGTTATCATTTTTTTGGTCTTTTTGAAACTAATGGATTTAACAATACACAAATAGTAATTTAGAAGTAGGATTTAAGTGTTAATTTGTTAACACAACCTAACTAGGCAGCTATATAGCTAATTTTGATTTTGTAGCACAATTAAATTTTTACCTTAATTTTAAATTTCTTTTACTAACTTTAACTTACACAAATCTTATTGTTTAGGGGGCGATTGAACTTTTTTAGAGATTACCATGACTTTAATAAAAAAATCCAAAGCCCCTGATGAAAAAGCAGGTTTGAAAAAAAATCGCACATTTATAGTGGGCAACACTGATCTTGTCATGTCAAATACATTACCATTTGACATGGATACCAATAGATACTCTAAATTTTTCTTCTCTTTCTCATCACTCTTTTAACATCGGTTTATTTTGATCCTTATTCCGTTTGAATAAGATATTAGAAAGCGAAACAGTAACATATATTTATAATTTGTATTTGTGATGTGACCTAACACGGCTAGGTAAGAAATGGCCCTGACACCCTGACAGAACGAAACGAATAAAGATCTGACTAATCTCAGCTAATTTCATTTATAGAAAGTAGACAGTTATATAGTACATCTGAAGGATTACTTTCGTGCGTCTAATAAACAGTGATCAACGATTGGACCGGTTTCTCAAACTTTATCAAATAAATAACACGGCAACATGAGTTACAGGGATACGGTAAGATAAAAGTGTTTTTTTTTAATAAACTATGCATTAAAACTATTAGTTTACATCTTTGTGAAGAAACACTACAAATTTTCTACTGATTTGTAACTTGTTCTCATTAAAATATACGTATTGACCAAGGTCAACTGTTATTAATAGCACTCGGAAATCAAGGTCGTTATCAAAGCCTATTTTTTAAGACGTAATAAGCTCTATACATGATAACTTAATTTAAAACGCAAAACATTTTGTGCCTTTGCTCATTCGAGTGTGGATAACACCAATAGAATGTTATGTCTGCATATATTAGAAGTATAAGTAAACAGATGCTTTACATATATTAATAATAATAAATCAATTTATGTAATGTATTATTGTTATTATTATCTATTACATAGATTTCTTTAACACATTCAGTTACTTGCTTGAATAGTACATAAAATAATAGAAGCAGTATAGAATGTGTTCAGTATCTGCGGTGCATGTATGACAAATGCTTGCTATAAATTTATTTGACAAATTGTCAACAGTATTCACTCTATCCGAGAACACATTCCTACAGTGCTGCAAATGAACAACGAGTAGGAAGCTACTTAAGGACATTAATGGTATTTATTATGATGTGGTTTCTGTTACTCCCTTAATTTGCCTTTGTTAATAATAAAAATATGTTGCAATGAAATATATATTTTATTGCTTTTCACTAAACATGGTTCCTCCAATTATTATAAAACATTCAACATTATGAAAATGATGAATAAATCTGGAAAGATAATTTAGTACTGCAGCAGTTTCTTAAACATTTTTAATTAAATAATGTGTACTTGACAACAAGAAAATTCTCTGATACTTGGCAGTAGAATCTTATTGGATTATGTTTTCCCAAGGACTTACTTAAATGCTATTATTTAAATAAATATTGGTGCAATTTCTGTCTGAACCATATCTGTGTGGAATTGTTACAATTTGGATTTTTAATGTTATGGATCCATTGTGTTTGCTTGAAAATGATATTGATGTCTTTCATATTGCATGTTACTTGTTTTGTCTTAATAATCCAATGTGTGCCCTTTCTTTACCACTTTCTATTTAGCTGCAGTGAGAAATATGTTTAGATCTACTTTACAAGAATAATAATTCGAATTGGTCGAACAATTTTCTAATATGACAATTTAAAAACTTTACCATATCTATGGCATGGTAATTTCATAGATTATATCAAAAAGTTATAAAACATTTTTTATACTTGCAACACTGATTTGTGACCAAAAATAATAATCTGTTATTAATTTAGTGAAACAGACCACTTGTGTTTTACATCAACATATTGTTTATAAATTGTGTAAATCATAATGGGTCAGCTTTTAAACAATTGTTTAACATATAAATCTCATGTGCAGAGTTATGGGGCGTCCCCATCATCGGTGCTGAATACAATTCCATCTTACCGGTCAAGGGTATTCACTGATGTTCCATACACAGCAACACCGGATGTCAATGAAGTTTATCCTGGGCTTTATGTTGGAGACGCGTAAGTATTATTAATATTAAGTGTTTTATGCAGGGTAGACAAATAAAATCGAATTGTATCAAAAAACCAATCAATGAATTTACTTATCTCATTTTCAGAGTTGCTGCCAAAGATAAAGCATTTTTAAAGAGAATGGGTATCAACTATGTCTTGAATACAGCAGAGGGCAAACGCTATACACAAGTTGACACAGATCACTTGTATTATCGTGATTGTCCGGGACTCCGGTACAAGGGGTTCCAGCTTATGGATCTTCCAACAACAGATATATCTAAATACTTCCATATTGCTGCTAATTTCATTGATGAAGGCATTTCAAGGGGTGGTTAGTTGCTTTTATTCATATTTGCTTTTTTATATTATTCAAATTTGGAGCTTATTAATATTTTTTATTGCAGGTAAAGTACTGGTTCATTGTTTAATGGGAGTATCACGTTCGGCGACTTGTGCTCTCGCTTTTCTGATGATAAAACGTGGGATGTCTTTCACTGAGGCTCTAGCTTTAGTCCGCTCTCGACGAGACATCCACCCCAATGATGGATTCCTTCGCCAGCTGCAGCAGCTGGACAAGGAGCTGCGGGTGTCTCGGATTCGCTGACAGTTAAATTCTTACCAACCCTTCAGTATGCCTTACGATTATAGAGAGCGGCGACATCGCGTCCGCAGTCTTGATCGAGCTTACACCAATCCGTATTTAGAGTAAACAGCCAGATATATTACTGAAGGGTTATAAAATATATTTTCCGATAATCTAAAGCGAACATAAACAGGTAAATAAAAACTCTATTTGAAAGTTTTATTTTTTAAAACATTTTCTTCTTTGGATAGTTTAAAACACATGTTTGGATATAGGGTATAAACTTGATTGCTAGAAGTTTTAATAAAATTGGAATTTGCAATTTTTTTGTATGAATGTTAAGAACATCGAATATATTAATCACTTGTTAAAATATTGTTTCTCCTGTGCCATTTGAATAGGTGTTAGATTTTTAAAATCTCACTAACATTAGAAAGATTAAGAAAACAACTAAGTGTAACAGATTAATTTATGTATTGTTAAAAATAAGTGTTTGGATTTACCAGTACAATTCTATAGCCTTACCACAAGTCATAAGATGACGCTATATTCTTGCTATTTAGACATAATTATTGTAAGTTAAACATAGATTTCACTTCAAATATATAAAGTTGTTACTCTGCACCTACACATTCATATAACTATAAATAGATATTTTCTTGTATAAATGTAGAAATTAGTTTTAAAATAAATTTCGGGTGACATGCTGTGATCTTGGATTTTTAAGCTTGTTTCTTTGTGAGGGCTGCTTTTTTTGCCAGTCATAGGTTTTCTTGATTAAGAAACACAAGTCAAGTTGGTGGTATCAAATCGCATATAATCATAGACAATATATTGTCAATATGTTTAATATAGAGGACCTAATGAGTGAGTATATTTGTGATCTGTCAAAAGAAAATCAATGTTTTATTGTTATCTAAATATATTTAGCGATATGTCTAGTTATCTATTTAGTTTTGTCAAAGTTGTTTATTCTCAGTTTATATGGGAAGTCAAAATATGTATTTGCTAGAATGGAATATGAAGTTTTAAAAAACCAAAGAAGGAAACCATTGTGATATAGGAAGTTGAAAAGAGTTTTAAAATTGACTTTTTATTTTAGATTTTCTTATCAATGGATTCTCCCATTTAAAAAACTGTCGTAGTTTATTAAAATTAAGCTCTTGATTGCCTTATATTGTAGCTCTATCAATAGATAATGATTTGAACAATTTAACTGCAAGTTTAAATTTAAGCACTTTGTTTACGACTGTGATATAAATTTTATTGTAAGATGTCTGTATGGACTTCAACACATTAATATTCATTCAACCAAAGATTGTGAGGCATTCAAGGATTACGCGTGTGAGCGAGTTTTCTTCTTACCTCTATATAGATACTTTATGGAATTTATAATCCCACAAATAATGTTGTCTCTGTCTTCTGTGGGAATGTCTGCAATAAAATATAATTTATTAGTGTAATTGTAATCATGTTTTAGTACTATCATGTTATTAAAATATAAATTGATTGAAATTGACCAATTTTTTTTAAATTCAATCCTTCCTTGAACCCCGGTGCAGGCAAACTGTTAAGAAATTCTTTCTCACTAATATTATAAATGCAAAAGTTTAGACGGATGAATAGATTTGTTAGAGTTTGTAGCCTAAACGGCTGAACGGATCTGGATGAAATGCATAGATCTAGAACAATCTGCAAGAACACAGACTAATTGCTTTTTTTTTTTTATAATTCCACGCGGGCGAAGGCTAGTAATCCATAATTGTCTTTCTCGTGATCCTCAAACAACATACATAATTTTTAGCAGTTTAATCTAAACTTAGAAATGCAGAGAATTTACTGACGTCATCAATCTCCTTTACAAAACCAATTTTTTTTAGAACGACAACTGGCAACACAGTGTTGGTCTGACAGCTCTGACATTTTTAAGTTCTAATTTGACAAGTTTTTAATTATAATCTGTGCAGTGATGTGATGCTGTTATCGTTCGTTTCGGTGGCAAATAAAAATTGTTATTTTTAAGTAATATTTTCTCGTAATATGTCTAAGAACTAAGTGTTAATAATATACTTGTTATCTATAAATATTGTACATAATGGATGAAAAAGAAGAGTTGCATCTAACCTCTCAAGAATTACAAGTTTTATCAGAACTTGACAGGTAAATAATAATTTGTAACAATAATAATGTATACCAATATTTTCCCCTTTTTTACATAATTATCATTCAGTATGCTGTGTTTTAGACAATAACGTTTACTACTAGTTTTTTTACATTTTTCATGTTAACTTGTCAAAACTAAAATGCAAACGCATTTATTTCTTGGCTAATTATAACCTGCACATTTTTTACTGATGTATAATAATTCAAAGTTATAATTTCAAGAGTTTAATAACAGCTATAATGTAAAATGCATTTATATATGTACATGATCACACTGCATTAACAGCCTAAGATTTAAGCAGTAGTCTGCACATTTGCAAAGTTTAATATTCACTGTACAACAGATCTACGTAGTATCCAAATTATTGGCCATTTTGTACATTTACCTCCTGCTTAATATTACTTAATCTTTTGCTAACTTTTTTTAGCGGTATATGAGAGGTTATACAACACAATTCTTTATGATGATGTTAATAAAGTAAATTATTTCGTGTTATTTCCAGTCGGCAATTTGGATTTCTGAAGCTGCGTGGTAGTGAGCATGTCAGAACACGGGCTTTGGTACTCAAGGCAGTCAAATATTTGGAAGGAATGTTGGTACAAGTTAAGGTATTAATGATTTCTTAACTATAGAAATGTTACAAATTGCATTATTAAATTAGGTATTTTGTGAAGATTTTAGAATAAAGGAACAAGTTGTTATTATTGTTGTTGTGTGGTATACTTGTTATTGATGATTTATTTGGCTTTTAAACAATATCAGAAAATCAATGTTTAAAATCAAAGTAATCTACTTCTTACTTAATTTATAAATGCGAAAGTTTGTATCAATGGATATTTGATAGAGTTTGTAGCCTAAATGGATCTCGATGAAATTTGGAGTAGGATAGTTTGAGACTTACTTTTTTCAATTCATTGCGGGCTAAAGCTAGTGTTACATCAAATAGGTTGCATAACTCTATCAATCCTCTAATATTAATATACTAAATATTAATGGAAGTGCCATTTATGTATAAAATAATATAATTTATACTAATATTATAAAGAGGAAAGATTTATACTTTTTTAGGTATTGAAATAACTCAAAAACTACTGGGCCAATTTCAAAAACTCTTATATCATTAAATAGCTACATTGCATAACATAGGTTAGATTTTTTTAGTTCATTAATATTATGCGAATGAAGTGTAATATGAAATGTATTGTATTTATAATACATTTTTCATTTAGTTACATAATGTTTGGATGAACTTAATTTTTATTTATTATTACATTTTTGTAAAGTCATTGACTTGGAATAAAATTTATTAATATCATTTCTATTTACTAGGAAGAGGAAAGAGCTTGTTCACCGGGCGCTAGAAGAGACATCTGTATTGATCCAAAAACATACTGTAAATTGGGACATTTTCATTTACTATTAGAAGACTATGCAAAAGGTAATTAGTGTTTTTTTGTATTGATTACAAATGGTTTTTAAGCCATAATTCGATCCCTTTGTCTTGTTATCCCATATAATTTTAATTGTATTTATCACCTTCCTTTTTAATAATTAGTATGGACTCAATATTTAGTTTTAAGAAATGTACTTGTGTAACAATCAAATATACTTTCAGCAATGTCAGCATATCAGAAGTTCTATGCTTTGGAGCCAGATAACTGGAAGGATCCATTGTTCCTCTATGGCCTAGGACTCTGCTACTACCATTACAATGCTTTCGAATGGTGAGTTCTTTTTTTGTTATAAATATATAATGCCAGTCACACACTTTAGGTTTTTCATGGCAGTTTTGTGTATATATGAAATGATTGCAAATGTATAATTGAATTTAAGAATACATATAACTGTGCTGTAGTCACATAGACTTTATGCTTGGTTCACACCTGGCCAGTACAGTTAGCCTGTAGCGCATATCGACTGGACTGACATTCGACTGGCATAATGTGGAACTTAACTGGAGCCAGTGAAATGGTGAAGCACTATGCCAGTTGAATGCCAGTCCAGTTACTGGGCATTACTGTCCAAGTGTGAACCAGTCATAAATTATCGCCTATAATGAGTAGGGTATGTATTTATAGCCAAACCATGAACGTAAGAACTAGCTTTTCAATGTGTTCAAAGAAATTAGTTCTATGTTTTTCTGTAATATGAAAGTTTCTATATTTCTGGTATGATTATAAGATTGAAACTGTAATACAAAACCAAGTTTGTGGCGTGCTGACATGTATTTTGACCTTGCCAGTGTATGTGGTGCCAATTCAAAGTATTTAGTACAAAATCTATGTATCATATCTGTATCAATATCATCATCATCACCAGCTCACTATATGTCCCCACCAGGGGGCTCGGAGCGTACCCCAATAAAGGGTGACTAGGCCATAGTCAACCTTGCTGGCCAAGTGAGGGTTGGTTAACTTCACACATATCTTTAAATTTCTTTGCATGTATCAATATGTGAGTGAACAATTACTGCATCTAAATTTTTTTTTCATTTTCATTTATCTATTGAAGTAAACTTGAAGTGCCCGGAAGTGGTCCTGAAGAATATATTGATCTCTGGCACATGAAATGGTCTGTTTACTAAAAAGATGAATAAAATACAATCAACTCTAAATTATATTATTATTATAAATCTTCGTTTTCGTGCCTAAATTTATGTAGCAGTTTCTGCATCTATAAGTAAAATTGAAGATACTGGGAAGAATTGATTCTAGTGGAATTTTCGCTAGTAACGAGAAATCTGAACAAGGTTTCGCCTGGGACGATGTCAATATTCCGCATTTTTATAATTGTCATTTTATATTTATTTAAATAGATTGTTATAAGACGTTTGTTTGTGTTTAATGATGTAACTTTTACGTGAAGTTATGATTTTAGGATAACAGTATATTTGACTATACTGAATTTTTATGATAGGATTGTCAAATGAGAATAGAGCAATTTCTGACAAACAACTGCCACAATGAATAAAAAAAATATATACGTTTTATAGTTTCCATTGTCAAAAAATATACAAAGACGTTCATCTCCTTCATTCTTCTCGAAATAATAGCGATAACCGTTTTTCTCGGATACAATATTAACCAGACAAATTGCTGTATTGTGAGAAACAATGGTAAGAATATAAAAATGCATTCGGATTGTGTGTGTATCCAGGTATTACTTATTATAAAGAATATTCTCGAATTTAGTAAATAAACCGAAAGTTACATTAAACATTAATATATGTTGTGCCTTAAACTTGTTTAACATAAATATCTAGATTTCTATTCAGAACCGAAGTAGGGGAAAACGGGAAAACTGGTATTCGCTTTCCTCCGAGCCTATTAAACATAATCTAATAGACATCCACAGCAAATAAAGATAAAATACGTTTTTGTTTTATTTGCAAGAATATAGGATAAAATACTCAACTAACTAAAGTTGGCCAGTTTTTCTCGATATAAAAATACTGTCATAGTGGAATTTTAATCTGTAAATTTCTCTTCAAGGCAAATTGTGGCAATTTAGTCACAAAAAAAATAGTGCAGTTATAGTGGAGTCAGCAGATCAGGTAATGCAATAATATCGCTGTCGAGTTGTTTTTTTTAAATAAGAGCTGATGAGTAAGGCAAAATGATTATAAAGTTTACAAATTATCCGCACCAATTTAACGCAGTTCACATCATTTACAGGTATTTCAAACTATTTTTATTATTCTGAATTAGGTGTTTTGATGTGGGCAAAAAAATCTTAAAAAAACACATTACATTAACGAGCTATTTAGTATAAAATTTATTAATGATGTAAATGATTAGGTATTTATTTTAGACGTTTGAGTTTATTACATTTTAATGTTAAATGTTCTGGTTATAACATATTATGATAATTGAGCATTAAAGAGGATAATTATATGTATAATATCGTAGAGACTACAACTGTGGAAACTGCTATAGGTATATTATTTTGTATGATGTAAATGATATGTGATTTAAAATTTTCCCACACTCTTCCTTCTCAAACGTGCTAAGTAACGGTATGCTATGATGTTTATATCAGGCGTTGGCGTTTGGGTGTATTTTGTTTATTTTTAAACAATTATATAAATACCAAATTAAACGCTACTATTTTAGACCATGTTTATAATTAAATACAACGCTTGTATTTTGATAAATATGTTTTATTATTAAAAAAATATTGCGAAACGAAATTAAGTTGTTCCATTCCATCTTGATATTTGAGCTAGATGTGAACTTCGACCTAAGTAAATTTGTTTAGACTTTAAAAGTTGTGTTGTATTTTTCTAGCGTTTTGTTGATTTTAGTTTAGTTGGTAGTATAATTCGTGTTCGTGATTCACCGGACGTAGGACGAGCGCGAGCGGGGCGGGGTGGGGCGGGGCGGCGTTAGGGCCGGCGCGGGACGCGGGCGGCGGACGGTAGGGCGCGGAGCGCGGGGCGGTGCACGCTGCAGCGCGAGGTCGTCGCTCGCTCGCGCCGCGTACCGTCAGTCGGGAGCGGGATGCGGTGACGTAAACTGCATCGGCGTGGGCCGCGAACGTAGTGTAGGACGGGACGTGTCGTATTCGTATGTGTCGAGTGCGTGCTCTGAACCATCTCGTGTGATCGGTGCTTTAGATCTGTGTTTCCGCCGACGACGCGCCCGCTCTCCACTACGTGGGTCGCCGAGGGCCCATCGACGCATCGCGGATCCGAGGATCCCCGAAATGGTGAGTGCGGTCGAAGCTCCCGATCGCGGTTTGTTTACGTCGGCTTTCGAGCCGCCTCTCTCTCTATCGAACCTGCCGCCTGTATCCCTGCGTCGCTTTCGCACGCGTCTCCTTCTATTTTGTTTTGTTTTCCAAAATGTAGACACCTACGACGACGGCTCCGGGGCTGGTCCCGCCGGGAGGTCGTGTTTTTGCTAGTGTGCACGGATTGTGCAGTTTTTTGTAGTGTATTTTCGCAGGTAGGCAGCCTTCAGAAAGGTCCTCGCCGTTATCGTCCGGATCATGGAAGAGATTAAAGCACAATTAGCGACGGGGTGCAACGAAGCTGGAAGGGCGATAGGTGCGTGTTTGGTTAGTGCTAGTAAATAATGAACTCGCCGTCGCATAAAATGTAGGTCGGTGGAGTGTGGTGTCGGCGAAGGCGGTGCACGCGATGCCGCACACTGAGCCGCTCCCTTCGCCTATGCCTGCCTGCATGCACCTTTGCTTGAGTGCGAGCCACTACCACTGGTGCATTGTTATGCCGACATTTGTATGTGTAAGTACCTAGCTATGGCTATGCGATGTAAACTAACGGAACTTTAAGGAATGTAGAATGTTCTACTCTATTACTTCGTTATTGAATGTAATTTAAATTATTTAGGAATTAACTGTTATATTATCAGTTTACGTCAAGCAATGTTTATGTATGTAAAGTATTTAAGAATAGTGAGCTTTCTTCTTGATCGTTTGGATTAGAAAGCCGTCGTCTATAAGTGATCTTACCTAGAATTAGTTTTAGTGTATAATCTCGTGATTCGCGACATGACGATTGCGACTGACTACTCACGCCACAACTATACAATGCTGTCATAATGGTTACGTACGGTCGTAGGAAAATCTGTGAGTCATATGCGAGCAGTTTCGCGCACTTTTGTCTGTCCGCCTTGGGACGACGCGCCGCACCGCGCCGGTAGTGGTCGACGGTCGGCGATACGCTTGGAAATTTAATGAGCCGATGATTACCTACATTGAAATTTATAATTGACCACCACGATACTGGAAAACCCGTTCCTCCCGTCACACGGACCGTGAATAATAAATACCTCCTTATCACTAATAATTTTAGCAAATTCTGACTTGCCGTTCATGTCCAAAATTATACTTCGAAAGAATTCGTTCGGCGAATTTATTAGTAAAAAATTTGCAACCGCTCCTTTTCGGGTAGTTTCGCATCTATTAAAATTAGAATTTGTTTTACATGAAGAGTTGACCTTAAATGGTATAGTCTTACAATATTTGGTTAGATTACGTAACATATATAGCCGGTATCTAACAGGCGTATGTCGCGATAACGGCTGCTCGCACATCGATGCTTAGTCGTGTCGCGATCAGGCGCACGTGTTATCTACGCTCCACCGCTACCCGCAGGCCACACCTAACGGTACCAGCACTATCCCTGCGTGCGAAGCTTCGACACTCGACATAGCGTCATTGCTCAACTCGTTCCTCTGAATGCTCTTTCCCACGAATAGTATTACCTATCTATACCGGAACCGCTTGTAGTGTCCGGGTGACCGCCCAACTTATTCCATTCGAGTTCGTTCCCCGTTGCCGCGGTCGTTTTGTTTGAAGGTCAAGAAAAAGATAACATGTTTTTTTTTATAAAAATTGAATAAAAACCAAATTAAAGATATGATTTAAGTCAAATTTGAGTGGGTTGAGTATTTTGGGGATTCATTATACACTACAACCGGTTCATATCCCACGGCAGTTCTTTTTTTTTAATTTTTATTCGTATTAAATGTTACACAGCAACATTTTTTACTATTTGATGAATTTCACTAAGAAGTAAAAGATTCTAAACCGAGAGAGCTATACACAAAAATATTTGTTCCGAAAACAGATGTGGATATAAATAGCAGTCTCCGGATAGAGAAGGTTCGAGCCCAGCTGTGGGCCGTAATATAATACATAAAATCTTTTTTTCGTTTCCGTAACACCGGAAACAGTCGTTCTATTGACGCGATCGGTCAAT